AATCGATGAGCAGGGCTCCTCGGCTCCGTTATCACGCTCCGCATTTAAGCGCCCAAGTGCTCGGGCGGAGGTACGCTCGCCGAAGATATACCGTCGCGCATCGGGATCGCGCGCCGCGCACATATTTGCAGATTAATCTGAATCCAATTCTCTCGGATTTTCGCGAAGAAGCGCCTCCTCCCCCTCCCGTCCCTCCCGGCCACGCTGTTGCACCAAACTCCACGATTATGCGCGATCGATAAGGGGCAGAGGGGGGAGGGGGGTGGGTGATATATTCGCATATTTCGGCGTATATCCCGGCGCACCTCGACGAATTCTGCTGTTCTACTCCGACGTGCTTGGCGCGCCCCGCGTTACTCTGGTTTACTCCGACATATTCTCCTTCTCTCTCCTCTCCCCCTCTCTCTCTCTCTCTCTCTCTCTCTCTCTCTCTCTCTCTCTCTCTTTCTCTCTCCTCGCGACGTAATCAATATATCGTTGCTGAGACCTTCTCGGCGTCGTCGGCGGGTAGGTTTAGGCATGGCTTTTCAGGTGTAGCCAGACAGAGACGCGCCAGCTCTCTGATATGTATCGCGCGCCCGTGTGCACACACCCGGGTATCTCCGTGCTAATTAATATCTCGGACACGGCATCTCCCGCCGCGCGAGATGCTACTGTTGCAGCCCCCGCCGCCGCCGCCGCCGCCGCCGCCGCCGCCGTTGCTTACAATTAGCATCGTCGGCGAGGTCGAACGGGATCGATCGGATCGCTGGTTTTTAATAGACACTCGAGGCTGGTCTATTCTAATTAAAACATTATTTTTATACCCTTTCCCCTCCGCCCTCCTTCGTGTAAACCTAACGTCCTGTTAACCGTAGTTGCTTTAGTCAATTTGGCGTAGATCTTTTTTCTCGGCGAAAATATCGACGAGAGGTAATCGTGTCCTCGTATAATTAAATCTCAAACTTTCTGATTCAATTGAGGTAAAAATTTTCCTCCGGCGAAGTTAAGTTTATCATCGTCAGTGGTTAACTCCCGACATTCGGGGAAAATCGATTTCGTATCGATCAAAGGAGGGCAGGAGCGAGCGAGAGAGACTTATCTGGTGCACTCCCGCCGCGTGTCTTATATAGGCCGATATATATGTATATATATATATATATATTGGTAACAAAGGGGGTTGTGTTTACGTGGTTCGGTGTATGTTCGCAAATTATTGATCTTACTCCGGAGCGTATCTCGGACAGATTCATTATCGGGCTTTATACATCGATAAGCTCATTAAGTTTAATAAACGCAAAATAGAAGGGAATAATGAAAGAGATAGCAGACAAAAATTATGCCTCTGTCTAGCAAAAAGGTTGAATTATACCGGTGATAGTCCTCTTAACCGGCCATTTACCGGTGCGTTCGCTGCATTCATAATTACTCGTTAGCTTTAGTTAAATTTCACGGGGGAGATTTTCCTATAGGGGGAGAGAAGCTTCGCTCGTCGCGTCGAAATTCGATGGGTCGCCGAGGCCGGTGAGAGAGTCCGATTTCACGCGAGATTCCCGATTCTTTTCCTCTCTTTCTTTATCCTCTCGGCTCGCGAGTCCGGAGATAAACGCCGCGGTTATCGGGACCTCCTGGCTGCGGGCGCGTCTCCCGTCTCGCGCCGTCTCAGCTCCATTCGGGCTTTCTTCTCCGTAGACAGTTCCCGCTGATTGCGGCTGGATGCGATCGCGGCGGGCTGGTACGCAATTAATCAGGCCGTAAATGACGCCCGCCTCGCCCCCGCTCGTGTTGTCGGACGAGAGACGACGCCGAGGCATCGGGCCTTAATTATACAGCCGGTTTGCGGCGAGCACAACGACGAGAGGCGTCTCTGTTTCCGCGCCGCAACAAATTGCCCCGTAATTATTCCGCGGCTGTCGGAAAAGTCGGGCCGCATTTCGGTAAAAATACCGAACGGAGCTGGAATATCGTTGGGCGGCTTACGCTTGGATTAAACGGGAAACGCGAGTCCTTCCAGCGACGTGGGTAGCAAGACGATTCTCGAGTTGTCTCTCTTGTTTTTTAATGCACTACTCTTTTAAACTCAATCAGTGGATCGTCACTGAGAAGCAGTGAATAGTCAGCTTTTATGGAATAGCTGCAAGTCGATTGGCTACGCATTTCTCGGAACTAGAAATTGGACCAAGTTCTAGAATCGTGGACACAGGTCTTAAGAGTACGCTTGCTATTTTTTCCTTATGTTTCAGCAAAGTGTCCGATTGTAAACTAGGGGTATTGTTATATAATTTTAGACAAATAAAACTTGCAGCTATTCCACAAAAGCTGCAAGTCGATTAGCTACGCATTTCTCGAAACTAGAACTTGGACCAAGTTCTAGAATCGTGGACACAGACCTTAAGACAGTATGCTCGCTATTTTTTCCTTACATGTTTCAGCGAAGTATCCGATTGTAAACTAGAGATACCGTTACATAATTTTAGACAAACGAAACCGCATTGGAAAATGCATTCACTTCGCGCGAGTGAATTCTCTCCCCCCTCCCCCCTATCCCCGATAGCGATATTCCCCGCCATTAATTCGGGGCACTGGCGATTGACTCGGATCATTATTCCGCCACGTTATTGTAATAGACAGATCTACAACGGCGAGGCATCGAGCGTTCGAATGACTCGACATGAGCGTTTAAGGAAATTTACCGCAAACGTCCGTCCGTGGGGCAGGCGCAGCGTAACGAGCTCGTAGAATAAATTCAATCAGTATAGTAAATACGGATTTTATTTCACAAATTAATGACGGAAATAATCGTACAAGAGGGGGCAAGTGAGGCCGGGACGTAAATGGCGCGTTGTAATAAATTTCCAATATATAATTGAATTAATAATTGCCATAAAATTATATATTACATTGACGAGCGTTCATTTAATAGTCATCAGGAAACCACGAAGAGACAATGATTACTCTTTAATCATCGGAAAATTATTGCGTAATTGCATTTATCCGGAGGTATTAATTAACGGACTTTATTAGACTATATAGCGTTCTACGGGGTGTTTCCGTGCGCGCGCGGGGGGGTGGGGGAGGGGGAGGGAAAGGAAAAGGGAGGCTCCTCTTCAGTTTTCGGGCAGATTATCGTGCGGCTTATTGTTCCCTTTCAGGCTCCGCCGGCATCCGCGGGACCGGAGGCGCTCCATTATCAGTTTTTCGTGCGTTACGCCCGGATGCGACCTTAATTACCTTCCCTTATACCCGCGGCTTATTACGTTCCCCGAGTATAATATAATGCGGCTCGATAATCCCGCTCGCCGCTAGACTTAGCAGTATCGGCCGAATTACGGTGCGTGAAGCACGTTAGCGCGGCCCCGGGATTGCATCCGCGTTCCACCCGGGCCGCAACGGTGGCCCATAAATACGGTTTAAGTTATGGCAGCTACCCCGTGCTATATCTCGGTTAAAGTTTATTTCGACGCTGATTAATGTAGGATTGCCGGAGCGATCCCGTACCTTCGCGGCCGCCCTCTCGAGAACGACCTTGCCGGGCTTTTCAAAGAGGGGGCCGGTAATTTTGCCGTCGGGGGCGGGGGATGAGTTTCCAATTTCGACGTCGCGTCGAAGGGCTGGACAGGCCGTGACATTTGTTCGCGCCCGGCGGGTCCACGGGAATTCGTCGGCGTCGCACGTGGATCCGGACGGTCGTGTGCGCGGGTAAACGCGAGCTAAACGGAGGAACGGCCGCCTGCCAACCCCCTAACGTTCGGCCAAAACTCGCGCGCGCACAGGATAACCGGCGCGCTCCTCGTAAATCGATACGTCAGGTGTGAATTGCGACGCGTCGCAGCGTCGTGGCGGCGGCGGCGGCGGCGGCGGTGCGACGGCTTTTATTTTTAATAGCGGCTCGTGTGCTCGCGTGCGTGTTCGCGGAGCGGAAGCGCTAAATTCGCGCGATAAGCACGCTACGCGCGTTAACATGCCTATCGATTGCCCGGCCCCGCGTGAGAGGGCAAAGACGGCCGCCGCGGGTAGTAAGATGAGAAAAAACGCGGCGACAACAGAGGCCTCGAGAGGCAGAAGAAGGGTCGGGGATAAACGGCGACAGGACGGAGGGCTAGCGGCAATAGGTGCAATAGGTCATCGCAGGGCCGCTCGCGGGGCGGCAAGGGGGCGGCCAGGCGGCGGGACCGACGGGGGAAGGGAGACAGGGGGGGGAGGAGGAGGAGGAGGAGGACGAGGAGAAGGAGGAGGGACAGCGAGCAGTTCAATGAAAGTCATCGTAAACGGAAGGGGAGCGGAACTGCGAAACGGGGCACACAGAGGGATCGGAGAGAACGGAGGGTGGAGGGTATAGAGACGGGGAGAGCGTTCCGCCATGCCGACGTCGTGGGAGAAAGACAGCGGGAAAGAGAACGCCAGCCAGAGAGCTTGCGCAAGCTTCGACCCGCCGCAGCTCCGATCGGCGGACGGCGGTTAAGCCAGCCGCACGTTCCGAGTTTTCGTGCCAGCAGTCGACTCGCAGCCTGGCTTTCCAACTGGCACGCCGGAGTGCTTTCTCGTACTGTGCCCTCTCGTTCCCTCTCCTCTTCTCCCCCGCGGTCTTTTCCTTTCCCCTTGTAATTTCTCTTTATCTGCCTCTCTCCTTCTCTCCGTCTTTCTCTTCCTCTCTCTCCGTTCTTCACCCCCGAATCTCGATTCCGCTCTCCGCGACATGACGCGTTAATGATCTACGCGCTGCTTCCAGCAGCGGCGGCAGTGCTCGTTCGGGACTAGAAACCACCACCGCCGTCGGTGGTGGTCCACCACGAGATTCGGTTCCGAGCGGCACCCTCGGAGCTCTATGTGCGTCAGTGCGCGGTTCAAAATCGCGGGAGAAACTGTGCCAGGCGACGTCGTGGTCGATACGCCAAGGACGACGATGATGTAAATTCCGGCACGCAAACGGCCCGCTTGAAAAGACGCCTGTCCTGATGAGAGAGAAGATGGCATACTCGAGGGGACCCGCGTGGAGGATATCGCGTCGGTGATTCCGATCGGCAGCGACAACTGGCTCTCTCCGAGAACCGTCGGAGAAATCGGAGCAATCAGGGAGCATGAGAGTGTTATGGTAAAGGTGCGTGGACGGACGTGCATGCCGCGGTATCAGTGATAATAGTTAAATCACCCCGACAAGTTCTCCACTCGAAAAAAAATTATTTCCGTCGTTTCTCACTTGTAGCGATTTAGAGTTCGAGTTATCGAGTTATCCTATTTGGATCCTGAGATCCTTTTGCTAAAATTACTGTATTTTCGATCAATTTCGCACGTCTTTTCGTCCCCCAGACTTGTCACGCGGAAAAGACAGCGAGAATTCCTGAATCTTCGCTGGATCCGAACTGCCGGTGGAATCGCGATCACATCGTCGCGTCGTTGCGGAAATCGCGTCCTCGTTGCGTATGCATCTCGCGCATCGAAACGCGCGTTTCGCCGCCGAGATCGGTAATACGAAATAATCGCGGTCGTTGGCGGAACGTTCGGCAAATCGGTGTAAAACAATCGCGCGGCGATTTCCGCGAAATCGTCGCTCCAGCTTCCTACCCCGCCGTGCCCCTCTGCCTGTTTTTTTTTTTGCAAAACGCGCGCCCGCGAATCGCATCCCCTATGCACGCGCGTAATCAACGACCGATCTAAATTGCTGATGCGCTAACCGTTTCGAGCTCGGCCTCATTCGACATTTTCGGCACGCGCCTGCCTTTATTCGATTCGCGCACGCCGACAGAATCTGAAAATCCGCGAGTGCATCGATCCTACGGACGAGCCGACGGACGCGCGAGTTTGTTAAGGGAATAAAAAAAAAATATTTTCGCGACCTTGGCCGTTCGGCGATTTTGAAACCTCGGACCGCCGCGATCCGGAAGTCCCGGAGGTCCCTGAATCTTTAAATATCATTCGCCTGCTGAACGCTCTGAACTGCTGGAGGTCGCGTGCACCCCGGGGAAAAAAATATTGAATTCTCGTGGGACGAGACAATGAATGCGGCGCGAGAATGCGAGGGGGGGGGGGTGGGAGGGGCGAGGGAGGAGAGCGGCGGTGAATGAAGAGGGGAGCGGGAACGGGAGAGAAAATTCCGGAGGTGAAGTACTGTTGTCGATGGCCAAGTCAACGCGGATTTAACCAATTATCACCCCGCTCTCTCGACATGGATGTACGAACGAGGCCCTTCCGGTATACGCTCGACCCGTCTGGCAAACCATACGGCGTCCCTTATTGTCCTTTGGGGAAATGATAACGCGATACCCGCACTTGCGCCTGCATCCCATCAAGCAGATGACGTTGCGGAGATATAGCACTCTCGGATTAGCGGGCAACGCGATCGCGCGTAGGGCACGAAAATCGGACGGTTCCCCCCCCCCCCCCGATTCTCTCCACGAACCGACGATCTCCCCCGGCTGTTCTCTTCGGCGACCGAATCACAAATTTTCACGAATGAGGATCAATCGCCATTGAAATAGAGAAAGGACTCGATCGATGAAATTATTTCGTTTCCGGCGGTTCTCGCTATTTCGCGACGAGGACACGATATTCCCCGCGCGCGCGAAATTATACGCGCTGTTTTTTGCCGAGGGACTTTGCGGATGCCACCGGAGTTCAATATTTTTTTCGGCTCGCACACACATCGGCAGGGCGGATCAGCGAGCGACGCTGTATGTACGAGCGCGCGCGTATGCATGTCTGTCGTTACGTCTATTTTTTTTTATACGCGCGTGTGCACAGGTAGTTCTCGACGGGAGAGGCAAATGGAGATAAGAGGAGAGAAAGCGGAGGTATTTTGACAGCCTCGGCACTTGTCCCGGGAATGCCTCGAATGCCTGTGCCGGTACTCCTCGGTAGCTGGGGCTGGGGATTTTTCGCCATATTCCTCCTGCTTCTGGCCACCCCCAGTCCCGCTGCCATTCGCAGAGGTAAGTCTAATCCGGGGAGGGGGTCGCGGGGGTCGCGGGGAGGGGGGCGGGGGTATAATTCCGGCGAGAGTTCAAATTTCCAGGCCAGCGACACGCGAGAGCGATCTCTGTATTTGCGCGCCGGCGGATGCAATCCGACACCGCGATCGTTTCCAGCGCCCTTTCGCGATCCTAACGCCATTCATCTAAAATTCAGTAATTACAACATTACGTTTCAGTCCGGCCCGATAAGAATCGCGCGACTCACCTTCCGAGACATTCGAGTCGGACGGCGGGAGACAAGGAAAAGCGGTGATAAAACGGAAGGAGACCCTCCAACGTCGTATCTATCCCCGTGCCGCGAACCCCACGTCTTCTGTACTTGCAACGTTAAACGTGCGCGGTGCCGCGCGGCTTTCGATTTCTTATTTAATCCAGCGGCCAAAATTTCGTTGCGACTGGCGGACAAGTCTCGTTTTATGGCGGTATCAATCCCTCTTCCCCCGACTTCGATCCACACCCGATGATGCGCGGTTTAATGAAGACCCGGGAGCTGCTAGCAATTATCGCAACCCCGTTACGCGGCTAACAGGCCGAATTATCGGTGTAACAGCCGAGACGCCGCGCGGCGGCCTCGAGTCTTAAGGGGATGCTGGAGGGATTCTGCACTTTTGGCACCTTTCGCTCCTAGAACTGTCAATTCGTGAAAACATTTGTGTAATATACAACATATATGGCTCTTGTGTACTAACCGACAGTGCTTTACTATTCGGACTAAATGAGAGAACAGCATGGTATCATTGAAATTAAGTTTAGAAGCCTAACAAAAAATCTATTCACTCGAATAAGTTATATGTTAGGTAACCTATAGACTTCTTGTTAAGTTCCTAAACTTAATTTCAATGATACCATGCTGTTCTTTCACTTGATCTGAATAATGGGACACTGTCGGTCCGTACACAAAGGCCACATAATTTGTATATTACACAAATGTTTTCACGAATTGACAGCTCTAGGAAAGGTGCCAAAAGTGCAGAATCCCTCCACCATCTCTCTAACCGTCGCGTTAGGGAGATTTACTTAGCCCGGGTATTACCGATTGCCGCGAGAACCCCACTCGGGGGGGGGAGGAGGTCCTGATACCCCGTGGAAAGGTGATTTACGAACGAGAGGCGGCCCGGCCATAATACAAGGCTACCGCTTTATAAGAGGTATCTGGCAAGCGGGTCGAATATCGATTACACGGCCGAAACTTGTGTCGCGTGTTGTCGCGCGTTCCTTACCCTCCGTTCTCTCCTCGTACCCCATCCGGTTCCGCGGGTCCCGTTCCTTCATCCCGTTCCCTCCATTAGCCAACCGGGTCAACGAAAAATGCTCTAGTACAGCCGTGCGCGGGACGTGCCCCGTATTTTTGCGATTTAATAATAGTTCTAATAATAGATTCTCCCGAACGACGCGAATTTTTCGAAATCGATATCTTCTCCGCGAGAACGTCGGGCGGTCGTCGTTTCAACCGCGTCTTCTCCGCTTTTCGTTTAAGCGAGGTCTACGTGAAATTAATTAAAAAAGTCTGCTCCACCAGAGTGGAGCTTCGCTCATTCCGTGGATATTTTCAGTTATCTCGCACGCTCTAATTACGTAGCCGTTTTTACCACTGTCGTGAATTTCTTACTGCTAGTTACATACAATTATTGATTATTATTAACATAACCGAGGAACATTGACCTGTCGCTAATACTGGTTGCTACAGAGCAACGTGTCATTAGCATAACCAATAACTGATAATTCCGGGCAAGAATGCGAACGAGATGAAGAAGAGGGTCCCCTTCCCCTTCTTCCCCGTCCTAACGGTCTTTATTTCAGCGGACCGAGGCCACTGCAACAAGACAGTGGACATTTACGAAGATGTGTCGAGCCCAGCGGTGACCCCAGCGAATTGGGGTAAGCCCCTCTCGTGCTGGTACCGTTTCCGTGCCTTTCGCGGAACGCCCCGGGACTGGATTCTGCGGGTGCGCTTCAAGAAGTTTAAGGTCGGGGTGCTGGAGAACGCCACCACCTGCAGCGGCGGTTATCTGCAGGTGAGCGCTTTGCGTGCCTATATACGCGCGTGTGTATGTGTGTGTGTGTGTATGTGAACTTTGTCGCTCGGGGGGAGATGGTGGGAAGGGCAGGGTGAGAGACAGCGGTCCTAATTCCGGGATCGCGCGTCCAAACAGCCGAATCCATCTCGTCGGGTCTCCACCTCTCGCTTCGCGCTCTCCTATTAATTGAATAGGGAGAATCCCGGCCAATTAATCGGGCGGCGGAATTTAATTTCGGTTCGACAATAGCGTTCCTCGATTATTCTTTCGCTTCGTGCCTGGATATCGCCGCCGGGCCGACGCGGCGCGGGACGAGGGAGGGAAACGACGGAGGGATGCCGCCGATACTCGCGTATCTCTTTGAATCGCGCCGCGGACCAATGCGTACGCGATACAGACGAACCCGCATTGCACGACGGGAACGCGGGTATTTCATATTCGTAAGCTGCGCGTTTTGCGGGGAGAAAAAAGAGACGCGCAGTTACGCCGGATGTAAACCGCCTCTGATATATCATTATCGGATTCGCCTCGCCTCGTGCGCAACGATGCATTCAGAGTCTATTTTACGCCTAGGCGAACCAGACTCCGTACTTTCCGAGGAGTCGCCTGCGGCGAGAAGGGGGAAAAGTAGGATCTGTATTAAGCACAACGATGCCGTTTATCTCGACCTCAGGATCGTATCGAGCTTTTATTACAATTCGTCAAATTAAGCTATTGATGCCGACGACTCGCTTGTCCGCGAATTTTTCTTGTTTTCTTACTTGTATTGTTACTTGAAAAGGGCCTGGAGTAAGGTCAAAACGTTGCGACGAATTCAATGAAATTTGCCAGTTGGGTTGACAAGCTCACTGTTTTAATTTTTAATCGTCACAGGCGACTATAAGGTCCAGTTTCACAGTGGCTAGTTAGCTTAACTAGTTGTTAAGTAGTGATGCTAACCACTGATACAAAATTCGGTAAGCTAGTTACAAAGTTATATATATATATATATATAGATACAATATATATATATATATACAAATATATCAATATATATTTTTAATCTTATTTGCGAAAATGCAACTTGTCAAAATCTAATTTTGTAAATAGTTTACCAAAATTTTCATCAGTGGTTGGCATCGCTATTTAACAACTAGTTAAGTTAACTAGTCACTGTGAAACTGGGTCTAAGTGACATTTTTCTTTCGTTAGCTTAAGCTATAAAATTCAAGTTAATCGAATCGAATCTACATTTGATCGAAATCTGCGAGTTAGCTTTTTTAAACCAGACGTGTTCAAGACCCTCGTATTCCGATAAGCCCCATAAACGCCTCGTGACGAATCGGGCGCGCGTTCGCGGCGTATCGACGGGATGACAATTCGCGGGTCCGGTTGCGCCGCGGCCGCTTTAAGAAACGGAAAGAACGGCTCGTTCTCGGTTCGTTTATCAACAGCCGCGTTTCTAGATCCGGTTTCGTCCATCGGGACGGGGGCTGAACGCGCGCGACAAGCAAGCGCAGCCGTATCAATGTCGCGAATTAGAGCGTTCGCGTATAAGAGACGAATGCGATAAGTGATTCCCTCACTTTCCTCCCCGTTTCCCACCGCTTGCTCCTCTTTTGAGCGAGCGAGCGAGCGAGTGAACGCGCGCGGGCGCACTCGTCCTGCTGCCACCTCTCTCAGTTACTTCGGTATCAGGTATTGATCTTTGTGACGCTGTAAACCTCTCTCTTCTCCTCTCCTTTCTCTCTCTCTCTCTTTCGGCCTCTCCGCTCACCGTGCTCCTCCACTCTCCCCTGTATTTTCCCTCGGTTTCCCTCGCGACTTTCAAATTTACACCGGTAAAAAAGATGAAAAGTCAATAGTAGTCACTTCGGGTACATTTCCCGCTGCATGAGATCGTAGGACTCGAGAAGCGGGACGCGTGGCGAGACCATTGTATCTTTACCGTGCTATTATTTTCCGTTCGAATAACTATTTCCTTCGCACGTGAGTCCTTGCCATCTTCGTATAAACTTGCAAAATCCGTTACTCCCTAAGACGGTTTCCCAGTAATCCGGCGCGTCGTTGTAGAAGTATCGCGTTTCTCGTATGCCTATTAATTATTTTCATCAGTATAATTAATTTTTATAGGAGTACTTGTTGCTTCAGACGTAAATTCATAAATGTAGAAGATGGCAATGGGTCGGTTTGTATTCCAGATTATACGATGCGAAGAATTTTAATTGTAGATGAACTAGGTGGCATTTTGGGGACGCGAACGATCGTTACCTACAATCACATTTTACGCATGGCAAACTTTTTGTCGTAAGAGATCGGATATATTGGCCGTTAAACTGGATTATAACGATTCCCGACGCGACGTCCTTACGTTGATCGATCGTCCCGAACGTTATACAGCCAACGCGCGTTCCCGGCCGCTGTTCCAGATCATAGACGGCAACACGAAGACGGAGGTGAGCAATCGCAAGGACCCGGGCGTCTACTGCGGCGAGTCCGAGCAGCCGCAGACCTTTATTAGCGAGACCAGCTTTGTGCGGGTGATCTTCCACGCGGACAACTTCACCGATCAGACGTACTTCAGCTTCGACTCGCGCGCCGAACCGCAGTTCGAGGTGTACCTCAGATACGGCCAGCATCCGGAGCTCTATCCAAATCGTCGCGGCGAGGTCGTGCCAGGCAGCTATTGCGAGCGCGTCTTCAAGGACTGTCGGCTGCAGACGTGCTACGTGCAGAGCCCGGCTTATCCCGGCATCTATCCGCGCGCGTTGCACTGCAAGTATCGTCTCAACACCCGGCTGCCCTTCATCAAACTTTACATCGAGAACGAAGAGTTCAACATCGATGGCCAGCGATGCGAAAACATCATGACGTGCCCGATGCGGCCGATCAGTTCCGGCTCGGAGCACTGCCCGTACGACTACATACGCGTGTACGACGGCAAGAACGAGAGCAGCCCGGTGATCGGCACCTTCTGCGGCATGGGCAAATTCCCGTACAGCATCATCGGTACCAGCGAGGATCTTTACGTGGAGTTCGTGTCATCGCCGGCAGGGCCGTTGCTCAACACCGGATTCCACTTCAACGTGGGCAACTGGCCCGGTCACGTGGAGACCGCGGGCGTGAAAAACGGCAGTTGCGACTGGCTGCTGAACAGCGAGTCCCTCGTGAGCGGTAACGAGGGTATCTTTCTGTCGGTCGCGCACTGGTACCCGCCGCACACCAGCTGCACGTACCTGCTACGCGGCCGACCCGGCGAGATCGCGCGTCTCTACTTCCCCAGCTTCCGGGTGAATCGTATCGAGTCGCCGATCCAGCCTTACGACGGCGACTGCGGCGAGAGTCTGACGCTCTACGACGCCGACTGGCCGGACGACGCGCGGATCATCAAGACCTTCTGCGACACTTTCAGCAAACCGATGGAGAAGCACGATTTTGTCTCGACGTCGAACGCATTGTTCGTGCGATTCGAGAGCAAGACCGGCAGTTATTCCGGCAGCTCGCTCTATTATTGGGCCCACTACGACTTCTTCAACGCGACGAGATTCGGCGAGCCCACGCCCGGCACCGAGTGCGACGAAGTCTTCGCCTCGTGGAAGACGCGCTCGGGCTATTTACGATCGCCGCTCAACACCCTGGTTTACAAGCGCTCCGTAGATCCGCCCGCCGATCTCTCCTGCACCTACAGCTTCGTCACGGACAAGCGGCTGTTCGCGCGCGTCATCCTCGTGATAGAGTCGATCAACTTTAAGGAGCATCCGTACGCTCAGTGCGGCCACTGCTGGGACAGTCGGGTGGATCGGGTCATCATCCGGGAGCCTAATCCAGATGGTATCAAAGCCCACTGCCTTTGTCGGACCAACAACAACGGCACACCGGCGCCCACGACTTCGCAGCCGGCACCGCGACCGCCCGTCCTCAGGATCGTCTCTCGTGGCGAGAGATTGGATCTGAAGCTGCTGGTGGACGGCGCGCACGCAGCCTCTAGCTACTTCAAGTGGCCCGCGCCGCTCTTCGAGGCGAGATACGAGTTCGCGCACAGTCCTCTGTGCGGGCCCGCGCTTCTGCCGCCCGCCACCGACGGCGAAATCGAGTTTCCGCATTACGAGGCGCTGGGATACGTCACGCCGCCCAGGTCCATCAAGTGTATCTGGGAATTACGGGTGAACCGCGAGCGCGATCTCTGGCTGCACTTCGACAAGATCAAGTTCGCGTCGCGCTCCTGCGAGGACGGCAAGCTCGAGATCTTCCTGCCGGGGAACGCCGAGCCGTATCTCGGTATCTGCGGCGAGAATGTCAGCTACGTGAGAGAGATGCCAATTATCTCGGCGGCCCACATAGCGCCGCCGTTGGATCATCAGGCGCCGAATGGCGACGTCGCCGAGGAATCGCCCGCTGTGATTATACAGTTCACGGGCTCCATGGCGCCGGCCAGGGCGGCCTTCAAGATCGCCTGGACCGAGCTCTTTCATCTACCGAGAGACGGGTCCGGAGCTCTCAACACCGGCAAGTTGGAGGACTGCGGCTTCCAGTGTCCCGGCGACGCGGGATGTATCCCGCTGAGATTGGTGTGCAACGGCGTGGTCAACTGTCCCAGTCGCGTCTTGCCCTTGCCGGGTATTCTGAATGGCACTTTCTACGAGCCGGACGACGAGTCAGTGGAGACGTGCGGTGGTCCCGTTAACGGTAACGGCGGCGGTTTCGTCGGACCCGCCGGCTGGGCTGGCGCCGGCTTGGGCGCCGGTCTCGCCATTCTCTTGGGTCTGGCGTGCTTCCTCGCCATGTGCAGACTTTGTAGAAGACGATCGCGCTCCAGGGACATACACGTGCCCTATTAGGAGACGCGATCGTGCCTCTGCGAGTACACGCACGATCTCGGAGAATACAGAGATCTAAGAGCTCAATTCGCAATCGTTTCTCGAGGAATTAAGATTTTTTTTCCTCTACACCCGCATGCTTGTTTGCGTATACGCGTAGGTGTATGAGCGAGACGTCTTTATTCCTGGAGGAACGATCGCGAGTACGACGAGTGGGACGTCTATGCGGCGTTTTAATTTTTTCAACGACGCTTAGACGCCTTTGAGCCGGTTTTGCATCAACGTCTCGCTCGACACTGTTAATTTCGGTTGAATAAAGTTTCTTTCTCTGACTCTATATCATAGGTAAGATTGTAATCTAGAGACGAGTAGAGCGAATCCCTGAGGCAAGCTTGTTTAACCCGTCGGGGTCGTTGGTGCACTCGCGTTTCAGATCTCTGTGTTATTTGAGAAATGATAGGTATGAGATGCGTTCCCTTTCTCGAGATTCGTCGCCGTGAAAGAGGCGTTTCTTCCATGTTGCTCCAAACAGATCCGACTTTGCGAGTAATACTCTCAGGGCCAGTTTCACAAACGTCGTTTAACCGCTAACCGAAGGGTGTTAATTGATCCTCTGCCTCTTCTTGGATAACAAGATAGAGAAAGATAGGAAGTCGACTGAACTCTGGTTAACAGTTAACCGACGTTTGTGAAACTGGACCTCAATGTGACGCGCCCGGGTCTAATGAACGTCGAGTTTGCTCATTAATTGCGAGAGGTTGATCTTCCGGATCTTTACTGCTCTATCGCGGTGTTCAAGTATTACTACTGTCTGTCAACGCCGATCCCATGTTCTGTCGGTCTTCTATTTACACTCTTTGCGGAACACTAATAACCCATACATTATCCTCCTCTTACAGCGACGACGAAGTTCTAACCGAAGCTGTATCTACCACTGCCGCGTTATACTCGTCGTATTGTCATCGCGTCTTCTCTACACACACTGCCATAGACATAGAACTTCATACGTAGCCCCCGTCTCGATCGTTCTCATACGTCGTTCGCGAGAAAGATCGTAGATTCGTGGTGATCGGGTTATTTCCGTCGCTGATTGTACGAGCGGCGGTAACTTCGTTTCTAGCGATAGCAACACACTACGAGATGTAGACGAGAACTATCTTTTATTAACTCGGTCCTCCTAATCTAATTGCATGATCTTGTCGATAGTCAGCGTCGAAGTCCGACAATAATGAGTTCGAAACATTAGGAGAAAGGGTTTTAAGTTAGATTAAGTTAGATCAAGTGATTAACTATTGTTTTTCGAAAACGTTGATAGGATAATTAATAACTATACAATTGTATATTATGATATATTAAATGATACTTTGTAATTAACGAACTATGCGGTATTGTATATTTTATAACGTATTTATCGTTCATTTGTCAGGCGACGGTATTGCTATCTCTAGAAAGCCGCGGAGGATAGGCGTACCTTTGTCGCTCGTACAGATGCAAATCAGCGAGCCGATCGTCGTAGATTCCGACTTCGGGATATAGTCCTTAGCGGTTGCTCAAAGTTGTCCTGCTCCGTGAACTCTCGAGAGAAACTCGTCGCGAGCAAGATACAATTAAATTGACTTAAAATACAGCGGGAATGGCGGGAACGACGGAAATCGATAGTACATCCAGTAATTGTGGCTTCTGACGGGTCGTGACACGCCTTGTCGATTTAACATCTTGAGTTTCGGCGACAGTATTGAGTATAATAACACACGTACACACACACACACACACAAACACACAATATCGTATATACATGCATCTAAATCGAATCCGTTGTGAGGTATATAATCGCTGTAGTGTCCACACCGGAGAATGAAAAAGAGAAGGAGGAACAGGAAGTGAGGAGAATCACGATTCGCCGATTCGTAAGATGTCTGGACTCTATGACACCGAATGAGCGTGCCTACTAAAATATGCAGCTATTATGATGCATGTGATCGTCGACAGTGCAAACAGTTTGTATATAATAAGGCAAGGGTTAGAAGGAGGTTTGTAAAGCCGAATCGCTTTTTAGAAATAAACCGGTACGCTAGGTGAAAGAGAAATAATTAAATAAAATAAACAAGAGTAAATAAATAAATAAAGAAAGGAAACGCCGGCGAGACCGCGCCGGCTATCGCAGCGATAAGGGATCCCGTTAATCCCAACACTCGTCGGTCGGCCCTTCTCCACGGGGGCGGAGGAGGGGGGGGGCTATTATAATTAGAACAAGAAACAGACTCGGAAACTTGGCCCGCCGCGGCCGCCCCCCGGGGCCCGGGGCTGCCGCGCTCTAGGAACGATGTTTGTTTGTATATAGGGGAAACATTTATGTAGGTTTAGCGACAATCTCAATAGCGGATACACACATCCACACGGATTCACACGACACGCACACGACCGAGCGATGCGGTATTAAGCGCATTATTAACGAGCGCAGCTATCTTTAATCGACGGTATAACGATTATCTTACTACGACGATGTAATTGCGATAATAATAATTATCATGATTACTATATTTTTTACTAATAAAGAGTATCCTTGGAGTCGAGGAACGAGGTGGGTTTCTTTATGCACACCGGACCCCTTCGGCAGATCTCTCGGAATCCGGATTCAGTGCGCGGTGGATAAGTTTAAAAGCGAGGGCCCCCGCCGAGAGCAAAAATTACAGAGGTAGAGAGGGATCGTTACGTTCAAGATTTACGAGTCTGCGCCGCTGGTTAAGTGCGGGCCAATTAAGCGGACGCAGTTTTGGGCATCGCCATTCTCGTCGATGATTTACTGGACGATAATTTCTCGCCCGTCGTTTTAGCGTCGTTCGTAATTTCGACACACGATCTTCCGCCTGGCGAAATTTCGCGGCGAACGCGTAACCCAATTTATATTTCATATCACTTACGACGTTCTCCCGCGGTATCAATTTAAATCGCCATCTGCGCGCGGAGCCTCTCCTTATAAATTCCTTGACGAATTCGGAGCGAGCGCTGTCTTTCGCAATGCGCACTGGAATTTTCTCTATTGTGCTTTGTTTCGGTCCCCGTGACAAAAGAACGCGCGATAACCATGCTGGACCTTTTCGCACCTATTAAATGCCTTCTGCAGGAAGAATCCGTTCGTGTCGACAATGTCGTCTTCAGGCTGCACTCGCGCGTCACCGTTCTCCTGCTGCTCGTTTGCACGATCCTCGTAACTGCCAAGCAGTACATCGGCGAGCCGATTTCTTGCATGACCGATGCTTCCATCGGTACGAATTCCGTTAACCTCTAGCCTCAAATGTGCATTTGCATCAACGTTTGCGCGACTTGACAGAAATCGCGTCAAGAGTGAATCGTAACGATAGAAATTTTTTATGACCGGAGGAAATCTCACAAAAGTCGCCAGAAGTAATTCAAAACTTCAGAAGATTGCTTGACCATGTCTGGCAAATTTTTATCTTTAAACACAACGCTGTTCTGCCGTTCGTGAAATTAAGATCTGTTCTTTTGATTTACCATACCATACGGAATTATTGACACAATTATCACTCGAAAAGGACCACCACAAGCCACGGTCGAAGCGTTGCGAGTTTAAACATGGTAATCTTCTCAAGTTTAGAAATTTTCAAGTTCCTCCGAAATATCTTTCCGCGTCTAATTATTAAATTATTGCGCGGGCAAGAGTGGCGTGTCATTAACATTTGGTCGCAATTGATATCTTGCTGGCAGACAAAGAACCCGTAAACGCGTATTGCTGGATCTACAGCACGTTCACGGTATCACGGCATCTGAAAGGTATTCCTGGACGGGGTGTAGCGAGCGCTGGCGTAGGACAGGCCCTTCCGGATGACGAAGCCCGTCATCATCGATATTATCAATGGGTCAGCTGAATTTAGAACGTTCACGATATGGATGAGGTGATAACCGATACGGACAAATAGTCGGTGAATGGTCCGTTGACAGAACACGGAAAACACATTTATTAAAGTATATATATATATATATACACTTTGATAAATTATCGAGATTAAAGTCATCACGTATTCGCGATTTAAATATTTGCCTTCGTTATGAAATTTTTTACAAATTATATTTTCCCGCGAGCCTCAAATGAAATCTTTGCTCAAATCAAGTTGCGAACTCAACCGAAACACAAAGTTTCTTTATTGACTCGCACTCCACCCAAGGCCAAAAGCCGAAGAATTTTTATGCTCGATGAAAGTTCTTCGAGAGACTCGTACTGCCGTTAGACCTCTCCGGGAAATTCTCGCCGGGGAAAGATCGACTCGGAATTCGTCAAAGGTATCCCTAAATTGTTTTTCGATGGGGCACTCTGAAAAATTGAAAGCGAGCGGGAGAGAGAGATATGCGGCGGAGAGAGCGCATTCGCACGCGCGCGCACGTGTGCGACGGAATTGGTCGATCGCGTAAGTTCCCGTATGGAATGCACACACATGTACCAGCGCGGTTCACGTACGCGAGATGCATGATAACGGCTGCACTTCGTTCCGATGGTCAGGTCGTTCTCGGCTCACCGGCGCATGCAGACGTATTGCGCGAGCGTGAATGAAATCTGAAACGCGGCCGCGTGAATGTAAAGGAAAACGTCCGGAAAGGACGGAGGACACGGCGCGAGGAAATGGAAATAGAGATCGCGCGCAGATCCGACCGTTATCCTACGCTGCTCCATATCGCGCGATTCGCATCGCGAATATCGCGCGGGCGGGCTTCCCTGCGAGAACCTTGGGTCTTCGAAAGAAAAATATTAAGTCAAATATAAATATCTTCTCTCCTTGCGGAAAATCAAATAACTTTTATATTAGTCCGCGTGAGACATTTTAGCTTTCTTATTTTAAATTCGCGACGATACAGAGAGAGAGAGAGAGAGAAAGAGATCGTTTGTCTCTGCTGAGAGTTCGCCTTCGTTCAGGATAAGCAGAGAGATAAAGTTGAATTTAAGGAAAATCGGAAATAAGGATGCAATGTTCGTTAGGTCTGCTTCGTTCTCGGCTTGCAAGCCATCTCTTTTTACGTGCCGCGCGCGCTATGGGACATCTGGGAGAGAGGCATCATAGGCCTTCTTTCGCGGGATCTCGCGTCTCCCTTCCTGAGAGACGTCTGGACCGAGGAGAGGAAGCAGCAGCTCGTCAAGTACTTCACCAGGACGAATCTGCACGGGCACAACTTCTACGCCATGCGTTTCTTCGTGTGCGAGCTCTTGAACTTCCTAAATTCTGTAAGTATAATTCCCTTCCAGTTTTAGAAACGGAAGAGTTTCCGCGGGAGGTACTTAAGGGATCTCGATCGGCCAACTGGGATTATGACGTCAGAAGCGAAGGAAATTGCGCGGAAATAACCGTGAATAATTGATTTCTGGGTTCGATAATGAGCCCGGGTTAACGAAACGCGGTCGAAACTTTGCCTCGAAGCGAGCCCAATATATGTACCTGTATAGCGCGGAAATGCAACTCGAGGGCCCTTAACGCGTAAAATACGACCACTCTACTTTTCTTACGATTCCGCGAGCGCAAAAATCGACAAATTTACACAATCATCTTAAGGTTCGACGTTAGCTTGTCAGCTACGATTATCAAGAAAAGAAAAGAGAGAGCGCCAAGTTAAA